GACCTTAAGATCATCCAGTTCCAACCCCTCTGCCATGGGTAGGGACACCTCACACTAAACCATGACACCCAAGGCTCTGTCCAACCTGGTCTTGAACACTGCCAGGATTCACAACCTCCCTGGGCAACCCATTCCAGTGCCTCACCACCCTCACAGTAAAGAACTTCTTCCTTACATCCAATCTAAACTTCCCCTGTTTAAATTTGAACCCATTATCCCTTGTCCTATCACTACAGTCTCTAATGAAGAGTCCCTCCCCAGCATCCCTATAGGCCCCCTTCAGATACTGGAAGCTGCTCTGAGGTCTCCACGCAGCCTTCTCTTCTCCAGGCTGAACAGCCTCAACTTCCTCAGCCTGTCTTCATACAGGAGGTGCTCCAGCCCCTGATCATCCTCGTGGCCTCCTCTGGACTTGTTCCAACAGTTCCATGTCCTTTTGATGTTGAGGATACCAGAACTGCACACAATGCTCCAGGTGAGGTCTCACGAGAGCAGAGTAGAGGGGCAGGATCACCTCCTTCGACCTCTGGTCACGCTCCTTTTGATGCAGCCCAGGATAGGGTTGCTTTCCGGGCTGTGAACGCACACTGCTGGCTCATCAGATCAGCTGCAACTTCTAAAAACATCAGGCAATGGCACCAGGACAAGAGTAATTAGCCCAGGAGGCTGCAACTCCCTTTCACCTCCTCATGGGGCCACCAGCTTCTGTGAGACCGGAGGGGTCACCCAGGGCCACAGCCAACACACAGGGCAGATGGGCTTGGACTTTCCTTGGAGCTCAGGTGCCAGCAGGCAGGACAGTCACTGCTCCAGCCTGTGTGTAGAGCTTCACGTGGGCAACCAGAATAGCCGCTAAGAGCCCCCAGCACCTGTGCTATCAGCAGGGTTGAAGCAGGAACTGCTGAGACAAGCGCTGTAGCTGGGAAGAGTGTGCTGCCCAGGAGAGGTTCAGCCGGCATTCCTGCAGGAGCAGCAGCATCCCAGCTGCGAGTGACAGAGCAAACCCGGCAGAATCCCCTTCCAGCTCCTCCTAACTTTATACGAAGCTTTGATCCATGCCCATTTCCAAGAGGGCTCAGCTGCTCAGATGAAGTGAGAACAGTTCAACCCGAGCGTTTTCCCCATGACCCTGAGACAGGCACGGCTTTATCCAAACCCCCCAGAGAAACAAGAGTGCTACAGGCAAGGCTCTAAATATTTAATGCTTACACAACACTCAGAATACAAACGGCAATTCACCGAGAAGGAAACCGTCTCCTGCAAGCTCCTCGGGGAGTTTTCTCTTCATGTGCGTTTTTCAGCATGACTTGACACCTGCCTGCACACCGGTTAAGAGATCGCAACTCCCCTGTGCCTCCCAAAACACCCCGCTGTCCCTGTGCCTGTCCCTGCGAGCTCCCCACCCCAGAGAACACCCGCCATGTCACTGGGGGGAAAACCCACCTCACCCACAGCATGCCCACGGTCAGCTGGGGAGGAGGAACCAGCCTCTCCCTCCGCTCCCTGAGCACAGGCCCAGGCTGAGGTGCCCTTAAGGCCCGCACGATGGGCGCTGCCCGCAGCACCCGGGCTCCGCCACGCACCGGAGGCAACCGTCACTGCGCTCCCCTCATCCCCGCACCGCGCCCACCGCACCATGGCGGCGGCGGCCCGCGCACCCTTGGGCTAGGCCGCCACCTAGCGGTGCGCGGCGGCGCTGCCCGCGCCAGGCCCCGGTGAGGGCGGCGGAGCTCAGCCGTGGTGACAGCCCCGGGGCGAGCTTCGGGTCGGCGGCTCAATCGTCCCACCCGAGCCCCCACTGCTGCGCCGCCATGGGCAGAGCGTCCCTTGAAGGCCGGGCTGGGGTCGGCTGCGGAAGGAGCTTCCTTCACAGCCGCAGCCCTGAGCGCTGCAGGGCAGCAGGAGGGCGATGAGGCTGCGAGCAGTGTCCTTGATTAACTCGCAGGTGCTGAGGGCTCCCAGCTGGGCGGTGTGGGACGCCCTTACCCGCCCTCCCGGAGCCGAGTGCAGCTCCCTCAGCACAGCCATGATCCTGCTTCAGAGAGGAGCGGCTCCCGCGGACAGCCCTGCCCGGAGGGGAGGTGTTGGTGCGTACCGCGGCCTGTGCCCCTCGATGGGGCCTGACAGGGGCTCGCAGGCCGCAGCCATAGCGCGCCTCCGGTGGGCATGAAGCTGGCTTTCAGTCGGTGCGGAGGAGCTGTTTTGTAGCCGGGGCCTGGGGGAGGGCTGTGCTCTGAAGGGTTCACAGGGCAGCCAGCTCCGTGTTTGTCCTGTGGCCGTTCCCTCGGGCTGTGTGCCCTCTGGAGCCGCACTCCTCTGCTCCTCAGTCTCCTTTCCATGAGCAGCCTGCAGCTAAGTAACTCCCAACACCCGCTTCAGGTCTTGTCCTGCCTGAGAGATGGCAATGCTGCCTTGCTTTCCCGTACTTAATCTGTGGTCTCCGAGTTGCAGAATTTGGCCTTTTATGTCTGAAGGTTTGGAAATTTCAGTTATGATTGTGGTTAAGGCTGCCGGGGGTAAGTCCTGCCCTGTACACTCAGTGGGCAAAAAGCTTCTCCCTAGCCAGGGGCAAAGCACAGGCAGCTGGAGGGTGATGAAGCTGCAAGCTTCTGTGCCCTCCATTTTAGGGGTTGTCTTCCTTTCACTCAGTGCTGCACAGATCAGGCCTGGGCTGATCCCTCACTCCAATCCCTTCTGTCATTTATGCTATGGAATAAAGTATTGAAATCCCAAGGTGAAAGGGACGAGTGATTTGGATTCAAACGCTGCTGTTGAGCAGACTCAGACCTTAGCTGGGTACATGACTTTTTTGTTGAGTTTTGGTTAGTTTTCAGATTGTGCCCCTGGGGCTCTTCTCTGTACAAAACTGCTTATATTGGAAAGAGTAAACATGTAAGATTGAAGTGGAATCTCTGCTGGAAACCGCCTAATGTTTTATTAACAAAGTGCCCCATGAGTTAGGTGAATAATAGATGAATGTAGCTCTGGTGGGATGCAAGGACCTAACTGTGGAGCGTATCTGCAAGGTGATGGGCAGGTTGCAGGTAGGCAGAGCTGGAGGACACTGCCTGGGTCAGAACAGCCCCTCGTAGTCTCTGGCAGCCATGTAATGAGCCTGGCTGTAGCACAGGCTGTGTCCTCCCCACAGCTGTAGGTGGTTCTGAGTTAGGCACAGCTGTGAGTGCAGCAATGTGATGAGGCCAAGTGCTGCAGCCCGGGCTGTGCTGCAGGGCCTGAGGAGTGGCTGCCCTCGAGGACTGAGGGGTGCTGGGTTTGCTGGGGAATACAGGGTTGTGCAGATGGTAAGGTGTTCCCTTGCAGGGGAGAGCACGTATTTAAGGATGGGTCCTGAGTGTGGGGTGCAGAGCGGGATGCTGAATGTACAGGTGTATGGGAGCCTTGTGAAGAAGCAAGTTCTGTTGTTTACTTGCACTGTGATGTGCCTTTACCCAAAGGGCCAGCTCTGGTCTCTTATTTGCCTGCTGAGGGTGCTGGTGTGAGTGAGGTTTGGGAAGCAGCCAGGCTAGAGCAGAGGGGAGTGTAGTGGGGCCCTGCTCTGTGAGGTGTTAGCAGGCTGTGTGAGATAGCAATCAGGGACACCTGGAGATGCAGTGCAGTTGAGGTGAAATGAATCTGCCCTGTTTTCCATACAAAAAAAAAAGAATATAAATGCCTGCAACCAGCCTAAAGGACTGTGTAATGGTGATGCTCAGGACACCTCCAACAGGGAAGCGAAAGGCTGCAGGGAACATCCAGGGATTTCTGGTACTATGTTGTAAGGGTAAACTGTCCACAGTATGTGAGACCTCTTTCCAGACCACAGCAATCTGTGTGAGCATGTCTCTTTGAATGCCCTGGCTGAATTATAAGCATTTTGTGCTGTGGCTCTCCAGTGAGACCAGAGCTGTCTTACTGCCCTTGGGTGCCACCCGTGTGGCTCATCCTGCTGCCTGTCTAGAGGAATTCCTCTTTCTGACAAGACTTCCAGCAGGAGCTCCTCCTCAGCTCAGACAAACTGCATACACCACCAGATTTAATACCCGTATGACAAAGTTCTCCTGGTGGTGTTCCACGCTGGATCAAAGGCAGCTACTGTGAGAACACGACTATATAAACTGGGAATATTTATTATCAGCGCACACAAAGTGGAATTCTGTTGAACTCACGTGGGATTTTTCATGTTGTTCTCTCAACTGTGCCAATGAATCACAGTGTGCGTGGTGCATATAGGCGGACGTCAGCTTTTTATTATGATTTAAACTCCAGTCTACTTACTCAATCATGAATTGAAAACACATGGCTTTAGTATGTCGGGCTTTTTTACTCATTAAGTGTTAAAACTCTAGTGGCAGATTCCAGGGACTTCCTGTCCAGATTTCAAAGGAAGTGGGGTAAGTGCTTTATAGGAGAGCAGAGTCTTGCAGCGAACCTTGCAGTACAGTGGTTTATGATACTGCTTAACATTTCATCTTCAGAGTATTTTCTGGGTGTAACTCATCCCCTGACAGCCAGACTTCTTTAGGCAATTCATGTGCTGAATGGCAAGGTTTGGGAGAAGGAATGGGCCTATTTTTAAGCTTAGACTGGTTAGGCTAAAATAAAGGGAATTTAAATAGAGGAAGCAAATTAGGGAGACTTTGGAACTACTGGTACCTGTGAGATTTTGTAGTGTATTCTGAAATAGTGCTTATTCGGAAATTGGACTGCATTTACTAAAATATAAATGAAAGCCACATAGGGGTAAAACAAAGGTGTTATAATGCTCAAATGAGGAAAAAAAAATGTTAAATAAATTCACCCAAAAGGAAATTAGGACTGAGCAGAGCATGGGGAGAAGCTTATTTCACCAAAACCATTTCTTAATGAGAATTTACTTTTGTCTTTTCTTATTTTGCCATGGCAAAAAGGAAAGTATTTTCTAATTTTCTAAATATTTTCTGACGTATTTTCTAAACTATGTTGTTACCCCCATAAAGTGTTACATCTCCTGTTACTAGCACAGCTTGAGAAGCAAGATGGGATGAGTGCCTGAGTGAGGATGCTTCATGAAGGATCAGAGGTGGAGAGCTGATTCGGTGCTGCACAGCCCAGGAGCTGCTCAGCCTCCTGAGGGCAGAGGCTGGAGAGCTCTGGAATCTCTTCTGTCGCTTCTTCTCATTCAGGTTGCTTCCCCCTCCACAAATGAAATGGGAACAGCAAAACTGAGCAGTTCTAGACTGGGAACAGTCAAGGCAGGACCAAGTGTACGAGAGGTGTCCCTGAGGCTGCTGCAGGCTTGTCACTGCGCTGAGGGTCGAGGGCACAAAGCCGCCCATTGGGTTTTGCTGGGTCTTCTGGTCTGAAGTACCCCATTGTGCTGTGAGTCCTAGAGAAGCTGTGTGTCACTTCTCCATGGCCTGGATGGGCTGCTGTGGGACACACGGAGGCAGAGGCATTGACGCTGGCTTTATGCAAGTGAGGAACAGTGTGCAGCCTAATAAGGAATATGATTTTTTTTTTCATGGTGCACATTAATCTGCCCTGTTTTCCATACAAAAAATGATGCCTGCAGCTCTTGCCAAACATCTTGCCTTGCCTCATCTCCTCCTTTAAAAGTTCATTCACAGTTACAGCCGCAATTGCAGCTAGGAAGCAGTTTACTGGGAGTCAACAAGGCTGCATTTTGGGTCAGCCCTGAGGGTTTCCATAACTCGTCTCTGGAAGGGTCATCCCAACACACACCCCCCTGGTGATGTGATCTTGGTACAGTCCAAAGAGTTCCAGGTTAAGAAGCCGAGGGGATCTTTGTTTGCAGGAGTGCTTCTGGAGTTTGATGTGCCTCTGAGCAGGGACAGACCTCAGCCAGGTAAGTGCAGAGGTAGCCTGAAAACCAGGATTTACCTGTTCTGCGCCTTTATCGCCAGGATGAAAACTCTGCCTTACTTGTAATGAGCACTTCAGCCAGTGAGGAGAGAAAATGCTTTCGTCTACTGCAGTAATGTACCTTGCGTTCGGAAAGTGGCATCGCAACTTAACTGTGTGTTAACCCTGAGCCAAGAGCTCATCGTGATTTATTGCAAAAGCATGGTTGCTCTCGTTCCTTCTGGGATAACTGATCTGATGTTAGGCTTCTCTCTGACAGTTACATTGAATAAGGGGGCTGGGCTGATGAAGGGTGATGTGATCTTGGTGCTCATATAATTCCATTCTCCGTACTGTCTCTTATCTCCCAAAATACTGTCGGTTCTTGCTGAGGATTCTTTTGTAGTGAAATTCAAGTGGGAATTTAACTACTTCTTTATTGTTGTTCTTGTGAAAGAGACTTTTATACTGTGTCTAAAATAATAGGTAAGCGGATACATAAAGTAACGGAGTGGCCTGATAGGAATAACCCATTAATTTGCAATCATAGTAGTTTTTAAACTGACTCAGAAGGCAGAATGGAGGGATACTGGAATTCTGAAGAAAGTTGTTTCCTGAGGTTTCAGCACAAAAGCTTGGCTTGAGTGAATTAACTGACATTGCTGTAAGCGTTTGCTTTAGAGCTGGTAACAGATCACTTGACTTGGCTTAATGTTAATTGTAATAATTGGCATCTCTTCTACAAAATTACTTTAAGTTCAAAACTGGAATTGTACCTCTGTAATTAGCTGCAAATCTGGCTGGTCTTGAAGCTGTGGTGGAAGGCACTCGGGGGTAAATCCCACTTGAAGTGTGCAGATACCTGTGCACTTTGGAAAACCCTCTCTGCTTGCATATTCTGTAACGTGTCCCACAGCCACTTTGTGTCCTCACTAAAAGGAAGGACAGTTAAGCTAAAGGATCAAGCTGTTCTACAACTGTATCCTGTGCAATGCACACAGCCTGACACAAGACTCCTTTCACTAGAGAAACAAAAGTGGCAGCATAAAATGAGCAAGTGGCAAGTCCTGAGGTGGAAATGACCACAGTGCTTGCTTCTGAGACCTGTTGACAAGGCAGCATGTGCTCACAGTGCTGATGCATGGCTGTTTAGAACAGCATTTTAATCTTGCTTGTCAACTGCAGGTGAATGTGCACGTGTTGATTTGTAGTGCTGTGTGTTCATCCTTGTATTCTCACCCTGGCTGCTCTCGGAGTCAGAGACCCTTAGAATCTGGATGTGCAGAGAGTTCGGAACTTCTGAGTGCTGCCTGAGGTCTAGCAATGGACTTGAGCATCTGCAGTGGGGACAGAGGCCAAATGCCAGGGTTCAGATGTAGTCTAAAAAACTTGACTAAAGCCACCACTTTAATGCCCAAGCTGTAAAGTACCACATATGCCCATAGCTCATAGACTTGGTGTGCCTTTAACTTAATACATGCTCACTACAACGGAGCTGCTCAGTGCACTGTGGGTTTCCACTTGTGGCTGCCAAACAAGCTGTGTCCCTGGCTGAGCCCCTTGGGGTCTTGGTGCAAGAGCCCTTCCAGCAGTTTGTTTGCTGTGTATGGACAGGACCGAACCCCCCACAAAACACAGTTGTAAAAAACCCCACTTTTCTAACTTGGTTAAAAGCAGCAGGGCAATATGTGCTGCCTGGCAGGAGTAGCCTCCTCCTGAAAGCACTCACTGTATAGTAATTCTTTGGTGTGAGCAGAAGCAAAATTCTGCTCTGCTGCTGACTCCATTTCCTTTTAAATCTTTGCCTTTGCTCAAGGGGAGAGAATAAAAATGATTTAAAGTTATTTCATAGGTGACTGCACTGGAATGAACTCAGTGAAAAGGCGAGGAGAGAGGGAGTATAGCCAAAGTTGACCCTCTTTGAGTGTGTTCTGCCAGGACTTTGAGTAGTTTTGACCATGAAATCACCATTTTACCACTGAGTAATCTCATGCACACATGGGTGTTGACTTTGCTCAGTTTTCAAGCTGATCATCAGTGAGACCTGAAGGTTAAACACCATGATGTTGCAATACAAGTGTTGTGATTAATTTAATTGGAGGAAAGCTTTGGTTTATAGCCAGATGATTCTGCCAGTTCATGATGCTGCCTGTGAAAGCAAACAGGTTGTGCCCAGTCCTGTTTCTGTTGCCCAGTTAGTCTCCCCTGGTCAGAAGTGGTAAGATAGGGCAGATACACTCAGATGAAAATATGGGAGTTTTCCTCTCAATGCTAAGTATGGCAAAAACTGCCCAGCAGAAAGAGTGTTGGCCCCTTTGTGCTTCTGTGAGAAGACAAATGCTTTTGTCTCCTTCCCTTGGCCAGTTCTTCAGCTGAGCTAGATGGAGAAACCTTTATATGCATGTAAAAGATGCCATAAAAAAGTCAAATTAACCTTATCTTGCTGAAAAATCCAAAAGCTGGATGGGAGAAGGCTAATGTTTCACAAGCATGGTATCCCCAGAGCATGCAGTGAAACTTGGTATTTCATCCAAGCAGGAAGAGTACTGCCGTCCAAAACAGCTGAGAAGCTCTGGGGTTACAGTTGTTAATACTGGACTGGGTGCTATTAAATTATCCTGTGCAGCAAATTTGATCCAAATTGGGTATGTTCTTACTAATGTAATTGCATAGTCACACAGTACAGGTTTAATACTGACTATACATTTATTTTGGCTTCCGCAGAAGGAGAGGATACCTGATCCAGCATAAAGACTCCCAGTGCAGTTAGTGTGTTGAGCTGTTTAAAGAACTTGAATGAGCACATTCCTCCAGTAGTGATGCTCTGTGCTTTGGGCAGGGATGACCCTGATGCATCAGTAGCAGTGGAACAGCCAAGGTCACGGAACCTCAGTGTACATGCAGTGGAAGTGTTTCAGCTCCTTTAAATTCCCCCACATTCTTAATACAAACTTGCAAAGTCACTGTTTTGTAAGGACCTGTGGCCATCCTGCATGGGAAGAGAAGGCAGTAACCTTTTCCAGCTGGAGCCCTGGATGAGTCTTTAATTAGTTTCATGGAAAAGCAGTTCAGAGTAATTTAAAGCTTTTGGCTGCCAGGCTGCTTTTTGGGAAGCACCCACTGATGATTGCTCTGAAGCAAGCTATGGTTTGGAGAAAGAGATGTTTAGGGAAATACTAAACTATGTTTGCAAACAGTTAAATACTTGAATCCCTGTTTTGCTGTCACAGTCAAAACACTGGCTTTGAGGTTTGGAGGTAAATCTGCTCTGGAAGAGCACAGAGTTTAGAGTTGGGAGGGTTTTGTGTGTTGTCAAGAGAAGCACAAATGCAGTTACAAAAGAGAAACCCAAGAACCATGTGTTGGTGGTTATTATTGGTAAGGCTACTGTTTGGATGAAACGAAAGCAAGCTTGGTATATGCAAATGGATAGTAATCCTTAAAACTGGGATGCTGTCCCAGAGCATGGCATGCGTTTTGTGTGTCCTTTCTGGCATCCTTCTACGGTCTTCCCAGATGGGGGCTCCTGGAACAGCAGGACTGTGGTTGTGAGGCCGGGGCGTGCTCAGGCTTGGGCAGTTTTATCTCGGGATCCACTTGCTGGAAGAAGCAGTTTCATGTTCAAAGCTGTGCTCAACTGTAGCCTTAAATACTGGCTGCTAACACACTTTGTCCTTTTAGTCCTGGTGCTGTGCAAGGGAATTCCTTTGAGCCCTGCAGCTGGACAGAAAAGTGGGGTGTGTGATAAAATGTATGTGTTGCAACGCTCCAGGCTCTTCCTTGAAGAGGAGTTCCTTGTGGACAGAGGGGTCACTGCAGCTGCTTGGCAGTGCTTTTGGGATCGAAAGTGCTGGTTTTTGTTAAGGCAAACCCAGCTCTGTGCTGGGTTCCTCCTGCAGGGATGGGAGCAGGAGGGATGTGTTTGCAGACAAGCTAGCTGGCTGCTAAGGGGTGCTCTTAAAGGCTGCAGTAACTTCTTTCTCTTATTTCACCTGTGAGTCTCTTAGCTACACAGAGTAACAAAAATGGGCTGAGAAGAGATTACTTCTGTTGGGTTTTGTGCGGTCATTGCATGAATTTAATGGCCGCGAGGATGTGATTTCCCCCTCGCACCTGTCTGGACCATTAAGTCAGTCCTGTTTGTTATGGATCTTCTGTGTTGCAGCTGGGCAAGAGAAAGGTTAAGACAGTAAAATGTGAGTGTAATGAAATACTGTTGGGTAGTGGAAATAATCCTTGAAGCTCATCTTAATGTGCTTGTGAAGAACTGGATTTCCAGTGAATGTCCCTTTAATTTAAGGCTGCTAATAATGCCAGGAGCTGGTAGTTGCCACCGTGTTGAATGCAATTGAGCCTTACTCTTGCTGGCTCTGACGGGGGAAGCATCTCTGAGTATTAACTGTAAGTAAAAATGAAACGCTGCTGTTGTCAGGCTGAGGAGGGGACTGTGCAAGTAGAGCCTGATTGAAAGGGGACCTGCACTGCCTTGTCTTTGCTGTTCTGCTGAAATCCCTTTTCTGATTAAAACAGGAATTTCACTGATTCACTGGAAAAAGAGAGGGTCAGGGAAACTCTTTAAAGCTCCGTGTTTGAAAGCAGAGAGACATGGGACCTATTGTGCTGCTGATATCCAGGGGGATCGCTGTAGAAACATCGGAGTCTGCTGCCCAGAGAGAAGTGCTGAGGAGCTCAGCTCAGAGGCTGGGAAAGACAAAAAGCAAATCTGTAGTTGTATGTGGTAGGGGAAATAAACCAAATGCACAAGAACAGCAACCTGTAGAGCTCTTCGGAGAGGGGGGTCTCTTTGCTCTCTCTTCTGTGCCTCCCCTGGAGTGGTCCCTTTCTCTCTGCAGAGCAATAGAAGCTTTCCAAACTGAGGGGTATTTTTAGGACTGTGCTCCTTGGCCCTCCTTATGCTGAGCGCAGCTCACTGTATCACATGATGGCAGGGGGAGCCCTGCAAAGAGCTGCTGCCAAGCCCTGCTTGGTGTTTCCTTGGTGCAGCTGTACGCTGTGAGTGTCAGCCCAAGCAGAGGTAAATCTGTTGGGTACAGAGCAGATGTGAACCCGAGAAAGGAGGAGGCAGCATGGTTCTTGGTTTTGACGTTCAGCTGAGGGTCAAAAACTGGGAGCTGCTTCAAAACTGAACCTTGGAGTGGAGCCTGGTGCCCGCTGCGTGTCTCAGCCAGGTTAGGCCACGTCCTGGTAGGTGAACACCCCAGGAGAGGAGGGGCTCAGCTGTGGTCCTCCATCCTCAGTGCTCAGACCAGGAAGCTGTTGTATAGAAACTGCATTTCCGTTCTTTCCTGTGGACTTCTCAACACAAAAAAGAGACTTCTGTTGTGTTTCAGAAGGGTGGGTTTGTGCTCCTGCTGGTTCACCAGGTGATGGTGGGACTGCAGCTCCAGGGCTCGGTGTTTCCTGGGTGGATGCAAAGCAGCGAGCAGCCAGGCTGGGCAGCCCTGGGACCAGAGGCTCTTTCCAAGACACACACTTAGGATGGCCCAGGAAGCCTGGAGAAGAGCAGGCTAACAGCCTGGCAGGAGAAGCCTCCTCCTTGCCAGCATTCCCCTTGGTGAGCACTGCCCCGTGGAGCTCAGGGTGAGGCAGGGAGCAGCTTCATTTCACGTGCTGTGCTTTATGACCACATTCTGTGCATTGCTTCAAGACTGGCTGTTGTGCAATGGGGTTTTAATCCTGGAAAGACTCATGTTCCAATCCATCAGATAGAAGGGGGGAAAGGGTGGGGAAATGAGGTCACTGAAGACCATGAATTAGGCAGTGACAGCTGAAAACCTTGTGTATCTTGAAAATAGGCTCAGTTTAGAATGTTAGTTGTCAAAGGGGGAATTGTTCATAAGCAGGAATGCCAGTTACCATGAAATAATCTAGAGCCCACCCAATTAGCCAGACTTACTTTCTTTGTCCCTGTGCTATCTCTATATAATTGAGAAGTTGCTCTGCACTTGAATCTGAAGAACTGGTTTTTTGGGGAGAGCAGGTCTATTTGCCTTGTCTTGCAAGGCATTTGCCAAGTGAGATGCCTTGTGACTGCCTTTTGGGGGGGAGATAATTTACAAGAAAATGCCCTTAAGAAAAAGGGAATTGCTAAAATCAACATTTACTGCTGGATTTCTTCCCCTGAGAAAGGATGGAAAATGGACTGGCATTTGAAGATTTGGCTGGTTGAAATATCAAGAATAAACTGGTTTTTTTAGTCCTATCTCTTTGCCCTGTAAAATTCTGCTGGTAGAAATCACTTACGTGTAGATTACTCTGTGTGTGGTTTAGGAGGCTTTGGAATAGGTGCAAGAATGGCAACGAGGTGGAAGAGCATTCTTGAACACTCTCCTCATTGTCATGAACAAAGGCATGACAGCAACATTTGTCATCCTTGAAGGACCATCTGATTTATCTTGGGGCAGGAGTGGAAAGGGGTGAGAGAAGAGAGGGGTGATGTTCAAGCCATCCTTAGGATATTTTGGCCATAGTAGCTTTCACTCACAAGAAAAAAAGACCATGATAAATGTGACATTTCCCAGTGTTCCTCGTTATTCTTCTGTATTTTTCCTGCTGTGCTCACCTGCCTGGAAAGGCTTGTGCCCAGCTTGGTTTAGTTTTCTGCAAATTTATGAAATCTCATCCAGTTCATGCTGCGAGTGGCTCAAGGAGCATGAGCTGAGATCACTGCAACAGCACACAGCAAGTAGGGTGCTAGGATAATGGGATGCTATGCTCCATTGCATGCATTTTGTTTAATTCTGTTGATCTGACATCAGGACAAACTGTGTTTGTCTTCTATTGCTGCAGATAACTCAAGGAAAGGGAGATACGTCTCTAACCTGTGGTGGGAAAGGAAGAAAAAAGGAATTGACACACAGGAGTGTTCCAGACAGAGTAAGTTCAGATAGTCCATTTTCTCCCTTGAATTATAAGTAGCATCCCTTACCATCCCCCAGACTTCAAACTATGCTGAATGATTTCTGCAGTTGATTTCTGATCTGCAGAATGTCTTTAAGTAATTTATTTGAGCTGTGTGGCTATGACCAAACACTTGCCACATTAACATAGTTACAATTCTGGGAATAAGGGCCTGAGAGTAAGCTGTTTGGGTTTTATTTTTGTTGTGAGTTTGTTTTTTAATATTTGCTACTTCTGGGAGTTCAGTTCCCTGAAATATAACTTCAAATTCAAAGACAATAACACCAGCCAAATAATTGTCATTTAAATTAAGATGGAGAACTGTGGAAATCTGGTTTTGGTTTTATTTAGGCAGAAGAGTTGAAGTAGTTAGAGCTTAAGTAGTCAGAAGAAGAATGTAGGCCTGAAAGATGGTCCAGCCCTTTGCACATGGTGCAGGCTGAGAGCCCCACTCTGCAGCTCTGCAGTCAATTAGACAAAGCAAAATGATGGGTTTGTGCCTGGTCTGGACTCTCTAATATCTTGCCTGATAAAAGTTCTGTTCAGCCAAAAATACCAACCTAATACAGATGATCTTGGGTTTTATGGTTTTCTAGTCTACTATTTAACAATGGTTTCTTTTTAATCAGAAATCACTAATTAATCTTGTTTTAGAGCAAGTTATATGCTCTGTTGTTAAAGACTAATGAGCGATATCTCTGGACTTTAAGGAGCCTTCCTGATTTATACAAGCCAATATTCATCTTATCTAGACAGAAAGATATGTCTTCATCAGTGCAACTCTTCAGAGATCAGAAGTACCATGAGCTGAAAAGTCAGTGTATCCAGCAGAGACGACTCTTCGAAGATCCCAAGTTCCCAGCCTCAGATGAGTCCCTTTTCTACCAGTCAGCATCACAACGGAAAGTTGAATGGAAGCGCCCAAAGGTAACTGATGCTCTCCTTGCGAGGAGGTGCTCTTTGTGTTGTTTCACTCCTACTGTCTTCTCTGTGCTAAAACACAGTTATGCAGGTATGTTCTCCCTCCTGTTTTCCATTCATTTCCTGTCAGCATGATTCAGAGAGCAGCCCCTCTGTTTCACACTGCTGTCCAAAATCAAACTCATGCCTTACTGTAAAAAGACGAAAAGCATTCTGTGCAGCATAGTCATGCATTTTACTCTTGATGGCTTTCTAATAACAAGCAGCAGTGGGAGGTGATTCCAGCCATAGTGGTGTTTAAATCAGCCCTCTAATTAAGAATACCAGTAATTAATTAAGAATACAGGTAATAGATACAGGAATGTATTCTGTGACTAAAGTCTTCGTTTCCTGGGCCAGTCTGTGGATATGGACCTGTCTAGGTTGCTGTGGTGACAGCAGCATTTCAGCAAGGTGCTGAGATTCTTAATTGAAGTTTCTCTTCAATACCTGTCACTTCTGAGGGCCTGGTGTGTACACACAGTAATTGCCATATAACATCTGAGCTTTAGGTACCCACTCTAGTGCCCCGCCAAGTTGTTCTTAAAGTTAGATACAATCCTTGCAGAAAACACCATAGGAAATAAAATTTTGCTAACTGAATAGGTAGCATCTTCCTGCCTGGAATGCTGGAAACAGCTCTAATAATAATGTTGGCTTAGGGTTTGTTATCAGAGCTCTCTGTTGTTAACATGTGCCTCATTAAAATGTATGGGGAAAGGAAATCTCACAGCAGCAAGGGGAATTTCTCCAATTTCAGATCATTTATATGTAAAAACAAATGATTTGTAACTTTTCTTGGAGGAGAGAGTAGGAAAGAGAAGAGCCACAGCAAGGGGTCTATCTGAGGTAGCAAACCCCAAGCCATCATTGGTGGAGTGGTCTTGTTACACTAAAAACTGCTTAGATATTTCTAACTGCCACCAATGCAATGAATTGAGAGCCCTCATTATAAGCAGATACACACTTTCTGGTCAAAGCAAATGGGTTCATTTCTGCTCCACAGGGAACTAAATTGTGCTCCCAGAATCAGTTAATTTGCTCTCTACATAGTGCCAAAAATAAGAGGAAACCATGTGTGTATAGTTGGCTGCCAGGTTACCTTTTGTATTAACTGTACTGGAACCACAAAGCCCAGCTACATAAGTGTCGAAGAGCTCTAAATGACATCTGCAGTGTAAGAGAGGACTCATCTACAGAGGTGTGTAGCTGATGCAGAGAAAGTGAGTTCCCAAGAGATGCTTGAGCAAAACTTTGTTTTGCAGTGAACTTTATCATGATACCTTCTTCCTTGGCTGTGTTTCAGAGAGCTTCTGATAAAGTCTTAGCAGCAAGTTTTACCCAGAGGGCGAGTTTTCCTTTATTGATACTGTGTCAGGTCTCTGCGTGGCTGTGCTGAAGTTTCTATGGATTTTGCCTTTGACTTGTACAACGTCTTGATTCCACGCCAGTGATTTCATCTTCAAAATGAACAGCTATTGTCTGCACACAACCAATAATGCTTAGGTGTATTTGCCGCTTTTACTAGCATCTTACCAGGAAAACAAATGTGCAGTTTGCTCTAACTGTGACTAATGCGCTAGACATTTCAAATTGTTAATATTTGGGTCTGTTAATCGGTTTGCTCTGAGGTTTTATGCTTCACATATCTTGTATTTTTAAAGCAGTTCATGGCCATGAGCTAATAATTCATAATACAAAATCCTTCCCAAATTTGACAGCGTGGCTTTCCATCAGAAAGTGTCATCTGCTCCTGTGCTCTGACAAGTGTAATGAAAAGGACAGTGGAAGCCTCTAGTCAAATGCACACAGTGTTTTTACCCTTAAGCGTGATGAATCTGTCCTTTATTTCACCCATGCCTACTTCTGGGACTGGTGTTCACCTTCTGGAAGCACAAACTTGTGTGTCTTAGAAAACATGATGTCAGTGACAGTGTGATCTTCATATGCAGCTGGTGCTGTTCCCTGCCCTCTGTGACAGGGGATAACAGAGCAGGCTGACCAGGGCTGTGCTGTATTTGCCAGGATGGCATGAGACTGGGTTGTTATTTTTAATTGCTCCTCTTTTTCCTGTTTTCGTGGTGGTGTTCATTCCTCACAGCAGCTTCAATACTGAAATCTTGGTGTGCAGAGCAAGAGTTGCTTTCCTGCTTCTCAGTTTTCCAAGTAAGACATGAGATTGAAGAATAAGGAGAATGAATTTGGAAAACAAACCAGAGGCATTCCAAAGTCTTTGGGTTTATTTTTATTTCTGTAGTGCTTTCCTGTTGGAGCTTTTCATCCCCTCCTAGAAGGGAAAATACACAGCCAGTCACAGCCAGGTCAGAGAAAGCCTTTGTGCTTCCTCAGAGATGTGAAGCAAGAGCTGGAGTCTAGACAAGGATGCCATTTTAGGCCATTCTTTTGTGTGTTCGTTCAAGGTGGTGATCAGTTGTATGAAGTCTAGTTGAAGGCCAGTAACTAACACTGTACTCAGAGGTCAATACTGAATCCAATCTTGTTCCACATCTTCATTAAGGATCTGGATGATGATGCAGGGGCATTGGACTAGAGACCTGCAAGGGTCCCTTCCAGCCTCAGTCATTCAGTGATTGTATGCTGTTGTAAAGCTCTGCCTTCCTTGCTTGCCTGCCTTGCTCCAAGGAGGTGGAAGCTGCCCAAGTTCTCATAGTGAGCCTGATGGAACATCTTGAGGGAGAGGGGCCAGTATCTGTGCAGCAGAGCAGAGGTGAGGGTCTGCTTCCCAATGTTTGTTCATGGGTTGCCTCCTCTCTGCCATATGGGGCTATCTTGCACTCTAAGTTGACTGGCTGAATGCTTAATTGTCCTTTTGGAGTGATGGGCTTTCCAGAGCATTTCCTTCTTTTGGAGAGGGAAATGGCCTTGCAATGTGAGCATAAGGCAAAGCCCAGAGCTGTCATCTACTGAGGCAGACCCTGAGCAGGTCACTTAGTCATCTTGCCTCATCAGCTCGCCCAGAAACTACAGCTGTGCCTCTCCCAGTTACTCCCAGATGTTCATACAGGATCTTGAACGTGAAGGAACTAAATGGTGATACTGTTTCCTGTCTTCCCACCATCCACATAGGCAGTGGATAGCCTGTCTGGATGCTTCTACTTGTGTGTAATAGTCCAAGCAAGCAGCTTTTTGCTTTAGGAAGCCTGTGTAGCTGTGTGAGCAGCTGGGGAGTGCTGCCCAGAGCACACATTGCTGTGGGGTGTTGCTGCTGTTGCCAGTGTCCAAACAAGTACATTTGGATCTGTGAATTTAAAGCTATTCTGAGAAGAGGTGAAAGCCAGTATTTCAGTTTCAGCTCTCAAATATGCTCGTTCTTTGTTCAGTTACCCTAATTGGCTGGTGGTGGCCAGACAGAGAAAATGCTTAGGAGAGTATCTGTATTGTCAGAAGGGTTTTATTCTGCTCTAATGGAAAAAGGAGTATAAGTGAAAGAAAAGAGGAGGAGGGGTAAAGGGTTTCTTCCACTTTGTTTTTGTCCTTGGAGCTGCACCTGCAATGTTAAATGTGTTCTGTTTGCTCATTCCAGTCAGACTCGCAGAGATAGGTCATTAACGTCTGACATTAATTGCTTGTTTTGTACTTTTAAAGTCGCTTTGGGAAAGAGAACAAAGACAGGGCAGTGCTGCTTCTGTGGCACCCCAGTATTAAGAAACTGGAGAGCACAAAAGGTACTGTGTAATTACCGTGCAGTCTCCCTGGGATAGCATGACTTTCCAAGGAAAAATCATGTTACAGGCGGATCATCCAACAAATAGGAGTGCTGAGCCCTGCTTGTGAGCAGTACTGGGCCCTGGTTTCTTTGTGTGCAGGGTGCCCACAGCAGTTCATCAGCACTTTGGGCAGGAGTCACCATGCCCAAAGGTCGGATGCTTGTAATGGATGTCTGATGTGGGACAGTCACCACCAGCTCCCGTTACAGGCAATGGAGAGGAATCGATGTGTTCAGTGTGTGACAGAACTGACATACCTGAAGTGTTGGCTTTAGGCTGAGGTGAATCATACTCCACAAGTGCCTGTTCTCTGCCAACCGCTAGCTCAGAGGGTGAATTCAGGGATTAATGCCAACAACATGAGTTCTTTGCTGGTGCTTCATATTGTGGGACTCTGCTAATGCCTCAGTTCCTCCATCCACCTCTAAAATAGTACCTTAGCTGAGCATGTCCATTTCAAAGGTGCAGCGTCTTCCAGACCCCTTCAGTGTGCAGGAGGCTTCCTTGCTGTAACACGTCTTTATGAAGTACACCTTATTCCCTCTTTTGCCCCCAACACCACAAAGGGTGTTGCTCCCACTGCTCTGTGCTGTTTCAGGCTGCCACTGAGAGAACAGTGGGGTCAACATATCCCCACTTTCCTATTGCAGCACCTGCACTTGACCCCTTTGTGTCGCATGAGAATTGAGGTACGTCCTTCCCTCTTCTGTTTGCTCCACACCATCACAGAGGGACAGTGTCTCTGCCTGCTGTGAGGCAGGTCATGCAGGGGCTTATCAGAATTGCCCTTGGACAGAAGGGTCTGAGCAGGGATTTATAAATGGCTGATTTTGCACAGCCATTTTCAAGCAGCACTTTTAGGACCTAATGCAGTGCTGGCGGACTCTCCTTTTTTAGAATTAGATCAAAAGCAATAATGTAAGACACAAAATACCTGAAAATTCCTGTTGGGAAAACCTGCTGGTTTGTTAGAAAAAAGAAGAAAAATCCCTCCCATCGGTGGCCATTCTTTCTGCCCACTGATACTGGTGTCAAAACCCATCCTGCCCTTTTCCTGTGGTGTACCTGGAGCTTCCATCCCCTCTGATGGGCTGCAGTGGGGCTGGGGCAGCTGTCCCCTGCCAAGAGGTAGGAGAGGCCTCTCACGCCCTGCTATCTCTGCTGGCCCTGGAGTGTCCTCAGCCACCTATACTGGTTAACCCCTTACCGAGGGCAAGCAGTGTCTCTGTGTGGTGGTCC